CTGCACAGCTGTTACGATTGCTGAAGTAGAAATTAATGAACAGTCTAAGCTCAATAGCCAGAATGGTCTTTTAGAGTAGGACCTCCATTCCCCTGCCCTCCACTCATGTTCACCACCATGTACTCCTGCCTTTGTTACCAGTTTCAGTATAAAGGCCGGGCCCAAGGGGCAGGAAGGCAGCCTAGCAGAAGATGAAAATGCACAGTTACTATGAAGGTTGTAAGGAGGAGGTATGAGGCACAAATTGAAAGAATATCTACTGCCAGGTCTCTCAAGTGCACAACTCCAACACACCCCCAGTTCTAGTGCTGGAATACGGCCCAGCAGCTATGCAACACATGGCATACCTTGTCACACAATCAGTGCACTCTAAAATACCATGCAGCTAAATCAATTGTGTCTTCAGCGTTAAGTCCTTTGTTAAGTGCCATAACAGCTCCGCTTACCTTCTGCTTCCCCAAAATGAGGCTTCATTTGATAATGACACATTTATATGCCAACAGACTGTGCTGCAGAGCAATGTGCATGCGTAAATGCTCAGTGATTCCAAACAGCTGATATTCAAAACAAGTATGTTTTTTGCTCTTCATGTTTTTTGCTCTTCAGAGAAACGCAATCCGTACAATACTTGGAAGAGGGTAACTGAAAGATTAATGAACAATTGTCTGCAACAGTACATTTAGTTTCCTTCCTTAGTTAAGTCTTGCAGTGGACTATGCTACAGCTTCTTCTAGTTTTTAAAATGCTACTGAATAGCCATTGCCTTGATTTTAGACACACAGACTTGATTAAAATCTAGAAAGAGCAAGAGGAACTCAAACTGTATACATGCGGAGACTGTACTCTGAACACAGGTGTGCTTTCACTATATTGCCATCATGTCTTGTTGGAAAGCACATATCCATTAGAAATATGTGCTGGAAACCTCCGTGGACCAGTAAGAAAGCAAGATCTGCCTCCTGTCCAAAACTGGTGAGAGAAAGATCAGGAAGTGCGTGCTATCAGAATGCTGTAACACAGCAAAAGCTGTACAAGTAGGCACTGTGAAAGGAAATACAATACGGCCCATTTTTAAACGGTGTGTATATGCATATATATACACACATACACACATATAAATAAAAAAAGTTATGGGCAAAATAACCCTGTTTCATTTAAAAATCAATGCAATGAAAAAATCAGCAATTTAAACTACACAAATCAAGTGTAAAAAAGCAGCACATTTTCTGAAGTAGCACCTGTATCTCAGGGATGAGCTTTTGAGTTTTGATTCTCCTAATTCAAAGACAGAGGTAATGTGTGTACCCATCAAAACATATTTTAACCAACTGTCCACTTTGTCTGGTCTGCGACAGTGGGGTATTTAAAATGCACCATGATTTTAAGGACCCTTCTCTCCCTCATGCTGACAAAGCCTAGCACAACACCAGTAAAAGGTCAGGAGTGCCTATCTCAGCAGGAGAGATGCTAGCTGTGCTGTGTGTGCCTGCCATGGTTTATAGGCAAGGTAAAAAAAGGCAGGGCAGTGGAGAGAAGATGAAGGAGTGTACTCAGGATAGCAATGAGCCTGCATTTCCTCCCTGTCTATAGATTATGGTTCCTGGTCCTGTGTCCCTGCTGTTGATTAACACCTGTCTTGACAGAACCAAGCCTCTTCCCCAACACTTTTGTCATTTCATTATTTAAAGCACTTGGCCATGTGACCACTAGGTTATCGCACAATGTTACTGGAAGAGTCAGTGCCAAGAATCATCTGTCTGCCCACTATCATGTAAATTATACTGCATTGTTTTGTTCAACCTAGAGGCTAAGTCAAAATGTTTTGTATTAACAGCAAAAAGTTAACTCCTCTCTTCAAGGAAGTCTTTCATACTATGGAAGAAAATACTAGGTCTTCTCAGATACTATGTATGGCGAAAATGTAAAAAAAAACAAAAACCCAAAAAACAAAACAAACAAACAAACAAAAAAATACCTGATATTCTGGCCTCTACAGGACCTGAAACTGTAGCACCTTAATAGAGGGGTTAAATAGTGAGTTTCACCTTTTAAAAGTCTTACAGAAGTTTTCCTATCTCAACTGCCAAGGAATCTGTTTTGTCTTCAAAACACACTAAAAATCATTTTATGATGCACAGAGACCTTAAATGCCATGTGTGTTTTTCTTAAGACACATTTTCATTCCAGTGTAACACTCATCTGCTTGAAAAACATGTGTGAGTTGTTTTCTGGGAAAAGAGAAAAGGGGAAGAAAAAAGAAAACTCAAAGCTTTCCTGTCCTCCACCAGGATCCCCTTTGGCAGTTGTGAGGAGAATACTCTTGTGTTGCCTTGCTAACACAGTGCTACCCTGAGATAGGCTCACACGGTGTTCCAGGGATGGAAAATCATCATGGAAGGATGTGCTACAGTAAGGGCCCTCTGATTAAAATACTGTGGCCTGAGAGTTTCATGTTATTTCAGGTAACAGTACTGAGCAACAGGGAGAGACAGCCAGGCCCTTAGCAAGCCAAGAACATTGAAACGCTGTCAGTTGTGTGCTGCAGGATGATATACATCTGGAAAAGTGGTAAGACAGGTTTATTTACTTGGGCTGTGGAAGATGGTCAGTACAAGCAAGCTTAAAGCTTACACATGTTTTCTGTAACCAAAGTCAAGTTTTCCTCTCCATTACTGAGTCAGCAGCTGGAAAGAAGACCATGCATTCTTTCTGCTGCCCTGAGGACACGAAACAGTTTCTCTGGCTTTCTGGGCAACTATAAGCAGCAATCTATTTCAGATTTCCTCTCTAATTTGTGAGCTTCATCCTGAGTGGGCATACCCTGATATGGAACATTTTCTCTTCCTACTTGTAACACTGGTACCAGGATGCCAGAGAAGCTCCAGCTGATCCTTCACACCCAAGTTCTGAAGAAGAGACAACCCTGTGTTTAATGGTCAGGAGACAAGGATTTTAGCTCTGTACTATCTACACTGTTTCCTTCACAGCATGAGTCCAGTTTGCATGTTGAATAAATAGATAAGTTGTAGTCCATGTGGTGGTACCTGAAGAACATCTCTAAAATTAAATTAACAATTTAAACAATTAATAACAGGCTTAATTGAAAACAAGAGTCAGTCCTCCAGATGCATCTCTACCAGAACACTAAGGACAGAGGACAGGAAGGAGAGGCTGCAGATGGCTGCCATTTTTACATGGCTGTTTTGTCTCCATTTATAGCTTTAGCTATATTATTCTGTTGCTATAGTTGACTGTCTTGCAGCACCCACATTCACACTCTCATCTGCACTGTGACTGGAAATAGAAAGAATAGGTAATGATCAGATGTTGCTGACTCTGACACGGTGCTTAAAGTACAGACTGATCAACAAAACCCATCAAGAACTGCCTCAGCACATAATTGTCTCCAATACAAAGCAGCATCTGCATATTTCAAAGTTACACTAAAGTCTCCTGAAGCAGCTGGAGATGTTTTTCTAGACACACTGGCAAGAAGCATGCTCCCAAAGCTGCCACTTGAGTGATGGATTCATGCCATCCATAGCTGAGCTTGTTATTACTGTGCAACAGAGTGGGCAAGTAATCTCACTAGCTAGTTAAATGGTCTCTGGCCAACACGACTTAAGCAAGTAGCAAAACCATTCAGGCCCCCCGCACCACAACGGGCTCAGAGGGCCCGTGGGTATAATGTTGACCTGGAGTGAAAGGTTCAGTCACTGGAGAACCACGGTGAGATGAGACCAGCAGAGATTTGAGTGAAGACCAACACAACTATGGCCGTGGACAGCAGATACATGTAGCGTATGACAGGACCAGCATGTCTGCTCTAGCGCCGGTCCCTAGCAGGAAGCTGTAAAAGAAGTACTGGATCCCCACATCTTCAGCAAATGGGTGAAGCACAGAGAGGTGATCTTGGTCTCACAGGAGCTGATGGAGGAACAGTCTCTGAAGAGCACACACTCATCCAAGTGAGAAAAGACAGTCACTATGTCCCTGGGCCCACACCTGATAATGACACCCCTGGAAGAACTTGAGAAGGCTGACCAGGTGAGTTTTCATGACAGCTATTGCATTCCCAGTTATCTGAACCCTACAGAATGTTACATGCACACTACAGGCTTGAATACCTCATGAGGCTCCTCAGCGAAGCTATGTTGTACTTCAGTTCAGCTCTAACATATGACTGTGCTACTTTGCTTAAGTGAATACTAAATGGTACTTCTTTTACCCTAATCAGTGACGATTCTTTTAGTCCTTGAGCTTGCTGTTAAATAACAGTCCAACTGTGACAAATTAATGAAAATTAAACAGCACAAGTAAAGACAGAAGAAAAGTCTAGTGTCAAAGATAATGATTTCAAAGATAGAAAATAATCGGTATAACGTAATACTGCCTCAGGTATTCGTGTTCCTTTTTCACGTTAGAGTGGTAGCTGCTGAAATTCAAATGCCTTTTAAAACAGGCTTTGGCTGAATAATACAGGAGAAAGCACGCTGCAGTTGAAACCTTGCTCTACAAGCTGTTTCCCCTTCATTCATACTGTCCAAATACTGTTGAAGTAAGCTCTCAGAAATATTTTTGCTTGACTGTTCTAGTACTTTCTCTCTTCCCAGTGCATGGGGCTCCTTTTACAGAAATAATCTCTCGTGTGTTTTGTATTTTTCTCTTTACAGTAGCACTGTTTCAGCTGTGCTATTTGGACTGATACAAGAAGTTCTCAGCAGCTTGTGTCTACGCCTTTTTTTGGTTGGGAGGCTACTGTGAGTATTAATTTAAAGGAACACATTTTCATTTATGGAACAATGTGCCAAAATTTATCTATGGAATGATTTTCTTCAATAAAAGGCTGGGAGGAGGGAAAGAATCTTTGTGAAGGTAGATGCAGAAATATCATCATCTTGGAATCTCTGTTTGGCCTCAGTTTCTATATACATGAAAAACTGGGAAATGGCTTATGGAAAAGCAACTCAAAGTAAACGTTTTAGATGAGCCCAGTGGTACATAAGAGTTATTTGTAACAATGAGGCACTATCTTTGAAAGACAAAGGAGAACCTGGTACTATCAAAATGTAATGAAAGGCACGCTCATAAGCAACCCTCTTAACCAGCTGTTTGCACTTGGTTTTACTGAACCATCTTGATATCTACAGTAGGTGTGCTGCATCACTTCTGAGTACGGGTCTCCACTTAGCGTCCTCCTTCAGAGGCTGACATGCTATCGACTCTCATCTCTCTCAGGCTTCCAGTTTTTTTCTGCTTCTGCTTGGATTTTTTCAACATACGGACCTAAAATGGAAAGAAAGGGAGTGAGTATTAAAATATCTGGAGTCACCTATAAGGAGATCCAAGGCAAGTAACTAATAAACAAGTAAAATGTTCGACTGCAACAGAAAAACATTTAAATACACAGCTATCTGAAGCACCTATCCTTATAAAGCTATAGGATTATCTGCTTTTTCTCAATAAATGAATATACATATGTATGTGTATGTATATAGATGTATAAAGGATATATGTGTGTGTGTGCATATATATTCATGTACACACACAGACATACACATACATACAGATAACACTATTTGTCACTAACCTGATAGAAAGACAAAAATATTTCTCACTGGAAGGACAAGTTAGGTTTGTTCTTTCTCTCTTTCTTTTTTCCCCCCTTTCTCTCAGGGAAAGAACAAAGTTTCACATCTTGCAAAACATTTGAGGTATGACCCTCTTTTTCACCCATTTTTCCTCTGCAAGGCCCATTGTTCTGATAGCCCTCCCGTAGGGCTCCATGTTCTTTGAGATTGCCTGTAGCAACAGATTTCTGTGAGTTAAAAAGGCATCCTTAAGGTACGAGACAAATGTGTAGACTGGTGTGCACCAAAGTCAACTACTGCAAAATATTTTACAATTTTGACGTCAATAGAGAGGTTAAATTCTTGGGTAGCTGGTGCTCATTTCCTTCTACATATACACTGAGATATCAAGGAAAAACAGACACCAATTACTCCAAAGTCTCTTTTTCTCAGACCCTCATCCACCATTATTCAGTTTTCTCCTTTGCTGCTCTCTGACAGACCTTCTCTCCTCCAGCAGTGCCAGCAGACTGCTTCCTACCTCACACACTGCAGTACTTCCATGGCCCTCATAACTGTGATCTGCTTCAGGGCAAGCAACACTGCCTGGAGATCTCAATACAGGGGGAAAAATTAAGTCACTAGGCTGAAGCTCAAGGACTATTTTTTTAAACACTAGCCCCATCTGAGCCAGCAGAGAGGGCCCTCAAAGTATCCTCTGTAGAAAGTGCTGTGTATTTATCCAACAGTTACCACACTGTGCCAACTAGCTCCTTTAAAGCTAGGCATCAGAATGCAACAGACAAGCAAGATAATATGGTAATATTCACTGGCAAAACAAAGTCAACTTGTTAAGACAAACCTACGGGCAGTACCTTTGGTCCTGCAGCAGAAATAATAATCTGGCCAGGGGCCTGAATCCACGGCTCTCCATCAACTTGAACTGGAATTGGCTTTAGGAGTGTTACACGAAAATATGAGCCTTGGGCTATACGGATTCCTGATCGAAAACCGCCTTGGACTTGACCCTGTTAGGAAGTCAAAACAAAGACATAAATCAGCCCAATAAACAAGAAGCACAAATATTAGCTGTACTTAAAACTGAGTGGATAGAATTTTCTTCTCACCTGACGTTTTAAGGTTCAAGTAAAAGAACTGCATGCGATGATGCCTTTACTGATGCAGCATTATTTAAGTCAGTGCATGAAGAACTCATAGCCCTGCAGGCTGCTGGAGGCAAAATAACTTACACAGTGAAGTCATTTGTTCACTCAGGTCGGCCAAGGAGTGTGCACCCATAAAGGTCTTGTTTGCTTTTACTTCCCCCCTCCATAACGTAGTAAACACATTTTTGAAACACCTAACTATACACACAGACTTCAGCACATGTGAAACTCAGAAGTCTAAAAGCACTTTATCAAACAGGGAGAGAGAGTTTTGCCAAACTCAACTCTATATACATATATATATATACGCACACACATATACTCTAACTACATATACATCTAATCTGCTCAACTACAACTAACGGCAGAGTGTTAACTGTAAAAAGTGAAGCAAACTGAACTTTGCTGTTACACATTCTCTTGAGGAATGTGTACAGACTCCAAATATGAGGGTAAAACCTTAACAGAAGATCACAACACCAGAGCATGGGTTTGTTAACATTTATATTCCAAAGCAACAGGTACACCCCTTGTTGCTTCTAACATCACAAAAATTTTAAGTATCTCTACCAAACCACTTCTTCTAATGGAATGTTTTATGTTTGTCTTCCTTAAAAGATCTAAATTACAGAACAGCAAAGTTGGCCAACACAAAAGATCAAGCTGCACAATAAGCACCCACCTTTCCATTTCTGGTGGTTGTATGGATTGGTTGTCTCTACTTACCTGACCACATGCACATTTTCAGCAGCAGATTTCTTAAGACAGTCAAAGAAATTGGAAGAAAAGGCAAAAATAACCTGCGATCCCACAGGACTGCATCACTAATAGCAGGCCATTATAAAAATACGTAATACATGAAAGAATTAAAGTTGCACAAATTAAGTCATATTATTCTTTGCAGAACTGGCATACCCTCTGCTTCACATAGCGTTCAGATCAAGAGCAGCTAGCATCAGATTCTCAGGGACAGGTGTTAGAAAGCCTGTGGCAAATAATTCTAAAGCCACCCACCTGGAAGGAATCTCTGCCTTGACTGTGATGAGGTATGACAAGATTTTTCGCAAATACACAATCTAAGTGAAGAGTGAGTGTTTTTGTAATATTAAAATAAGATCTTGTTTTCATCGCATGAACTGTTTGGTTTTGACACTGTGATACTGTTATGAGAAAGCAATTGCATTCCATAATACATATATATATTTGCATTTCCTATACATATATATACATATACACACACAAATGTATGTTTCTGGCCTTGGTTCAAAGCCTACTTAAGTCATGAAGCATTTCCCCATGCACTTTTAACACATTCTTCACACTGTTATTGCTTCTTATGCAACCACAGGTTTCTTCAGTTTCCATTCCATCTGTTGTAGTCTGGCATCTAAATATGGATCTTCAGGCCGGGCCAATAAATAGGCAGTGAGAGGGCACTGCAGTCCATGAATACACATACCAGCTGCAGCTAAACTCCCGACATCTGAACACTTAATTCACAGGCAGCTGACACTGCCCATGAATTCCATTTATGGTCTGTAACCATTTCTGCGTGATGCAACAAGTACCTGAATAAATGATGGTATAACCTTAACATTGATGCATACTTTTTAGTTTTACGTACTTGCAATGCACTGTATGTTACAAAAATAAATGAGTCTGAGAAAATGTGTGCTTCTTACTGGGACGCCAGCTTACCATGTGAACGACACCAGTCACACCAACAACTTCCAGCAGGCCATCATCGATGCGTGGTTTCTCAAAGCGGTTATCACTCTCGGACCCCCAGAGATCAGCTCCAGAGCCCCAGCTGCACAGAGAGCACACCACAGTGACCACCTGTGGACCTGCAGTCTGCCACAGAGCACCCTGCCACCCGGTACCCTGCTAGGGGTGGCTGGCTTGCAGACTTCAAAAGCTAGATGCTTTGCTCCCCATCAGCTGGAGGAGACAACACAGCTTTCCTGCACTGCAAAAGCAAGAAGTGCTTTCCTAAAATTGGGAAGACTTCTGACTAGTGAAAGAAGAAGTGAAATGAGTAGTTTCCATTTGAAAGAAAAAGAGTAGGTAAGAAGAGTTTTAGTTTGCTGGGAAATATGGGTTACAGCTACCCTTAACTTCCAAGACCCAAGAACTCAGATCTTACTGATCTTGGCAATATTCATGGAAGCTACTGAAGAGAAACTAAAGCTAAAACAAGTACCAAGTTTTTATTCTTGCACCTGGCGAAACTCACCTGTAGTTAAGCAGGTATTCCAACACTTCAGTCCTCTGAAATGCCTCTGACAATTTAACACTGTTGCTTTTTGTGCAGTATTGACCCTCCTTACTCAAATCACCTGCTTATTGTTTTATTGCATTGACTGCTCAGCACTGATGGTGATCTTTTCTTCTCCACAGTTCTCATGTGCAACATATGCTTGTGTGTATCTGCATATGCACATGCATGTGTGTACATGTAGGTATATGTATTTTGATAAAAAGTTGAAACATTTTCAGACTAAAGTGGAAAGACATACAGGTAGTTTAAGCATATACTTGTGAAAAAAAAAACAAAACCCAAAACCAAACAGTATGGCAGCACTGATTACCTGCTGGTTTTGTGCAAACAAAAAACCTGCCTCTGCTAACAGCATATCTAAGGAAGCCAGATTTCCTGCAGATCTGCTTTCCTTTCTTCCACAGCAGTAACTCCAGTTCCCTGCAGGTGTCAGGGCAGCCCCCACAACCCTATGAAAGGTACCTGAACTTAGTTTTTTCCACAGCTAACAGAGTAGCATCACCAACTCCACTATACTGACCAGCTGGCTGTAGGACCTGGACAGTGTTTGACAGCTGAATCCTGGCTGGCCTTCACTGCAGGAACTGCTTAGGCACCTGGTCTCTACCACACTAGGAAGTGTGTGCAAGCTCATCATCTTTGATCTTGGTACAAGTCATGGTGAGATGCAATGGACTGTTCAAACAGCTTGAGGGAGGGGGAAATAGACCGGTCAGCCTCACCTCCATCCCTGGAAAGGTGATGGAACAACTTATTCTTGATGCTGTCTCTAGGCATATCAGGGATAAGAAGGTCATTAGAGGCAGTCAACATGGCTTCACCAAGGGGAAGTCATGCTTGACCAACCTGACAGCCTTTTATGAGGACATTACCACGTGGATAGATGATGGTAAAGCAGTAGATGTGGTCTATCTTGATTTCAGTAAAGCATTTGACACCGTCTCCCACAGTATCCTCACGGCTAAACTGAGGAAGTGCGATCTGGATGATCGGGTAGTGAGATGGATTGTGAACTGGCTGGAGAAAAGAAGCCAGAGAGTTGTGGTGAATGGGATGGAGTCTAGTTGGAGGCCTGTATCTAGTGGAGTCCCCAGGGTTCGGTGTTGGGACCAGTGCTGTTCAATATATTCATCAATGACTTGGATGAGGGAGTAGAGTGCACCCTCAGCAAGTTTGCTGATGATACGAAACTGGAAGGAGTGGATGTGTTCCTGTGTGATCTGATCTAGGTGTTCCTGCTCCGGCAGGGGGATTGGACTAGATGATCTTTCGAGGTCCCTTCCAATCTCTAACATTCTGTGATTCTGTGATTCTATGAAAATGGTAGCGCGCAGAAGCCACAGGGCTATGACCATGCCTAAAAAGTAATGTTTTACAACAGCACTGGTGAAAAAGAAGTCTGAAGACCTTTGATGAGGAAATAATTCCTAATTACTGTTAGGACACAGAAGAAACATCAAGTGTATGGGGGGTTGCACTGGGAAAACAAGATATTACCACTGCTGTGTGGAGTGAGATTGTGAGTTTCAAAGGATCAGAAAAACTATGTCAAAATGGCATTAAGAGCTAGGTCGTTAGGCACAGTTGCAAAGCCAGTGAGTCAGGCAATAATAAAAAACACCCAGTAACAACCATTAGTCTCGACCATTTAACATTTTATCTAACCATTCAACATTTGATGCTCAAGCAGCATTTCCACACATATAGCCAGACATGCATACACACAGGATCTTTCCTCTCCTTTTTACCTGGGTATATTAATAAAAATGAGTCCTTCTATACTTGGTAACTCCACCTCGTGCTGGTCCACTTGAAGCTTTATGTCTTTGTGAAGATTTCTGGTATGACTTATCTTCTGCAGCCCAACTTTCACATAAACTCCTTTGTTGTGAAGCCTAAGAGCAGACAAGCATCCTGTAACTAAAAGGCAAGGCCCAGCATAGCACCCTTCCTTGTACGTATACCAGTATTGTCCTCTAGCAGGTAGGCTTAAAGGGTTTTTCAATTAAAACCCTCTCCAAATTCTTCCAGCTTTACTGCAGAAACAAAGCATAAGCCAAGAACTACTACTTTATATACCTTTTACTTAGGGGATGATTTGTGTTGTCGAGGCAAGTGGAGATCTATGAAATTTTATTACAGAAAAATTGCTTCTTAGAGAGCTGCCTGAATGCAATGCCTCTTTGAAATGTAAACTTCTGAGCTGGAAAATTGCATTTTTAATTAAGACCTAGAGGTCTTCATGAAACATTTTTAAATATTTTCTCATGCAATGCTACAATAATTAAGGCACAAACCCCTTTGCAAGTCCTTGCTTTATGTATCGCTAATTCATCTGAAATATACTCAGCTGTAGAAACCTGGAACATGCTTAGTAATGTTAACCTGTGACAGAGTTCTAACATCTCTAATTTTAGTGTAAAAAAAGAAGAGGAATATTTTATGGCATCTCTAGAAACGTCAAAATATTTTAAGAATAACATAAATGTTAAACACAGGCAGTATTTTCTTCTGAAATGGAAACTTTTTAGATATATGGTCTTCAGGGCAACCTTAAAATAAAAACCATAAATTTACATTATTTGACCCTACTAGCACATTGTTGTCATTGGAATCTAAATCTGAAAAATCTCTCTAGCATTATGTCTAAATGCTGTAGACATTCAGGTGGAAAGACAGCCAGTTCAGCACGTAGGTTATAGTCAACTCTTCAGATAGAAACTCTTCAGTTCTTTTAAATTATTACATTGGCAGTAATTAGTCCTACATGTTAACAGTTTTAAAGAGCATCACATTAAAGGTACCTGATGTATCAGCATTTGACATATGCTTAACATATTCTTCTATTCCAGACAAGATCCACATTGGTCAGGCAATCCCAAGTACAGGCTGGGAGGACAATGGGTTGAGAGCAGCCCTGAGGAGAAGGACTTGGAGTTGTTGGCCAATGAGAATGTGTGCTTCCAGCCCAGAAAGCCAGCTAGATCCTGGGGTGCATCAAAAGAAGAGTGACCAGCAGGTTGAAGGAGGTGATTCTCCCTCTTTGCTCTCGGGAGACCCCACCTGGAGTACTGCATCCAGCTCTGGGACCCCCAACATCATAAGAACATAGAACTCTTGGAGCGAGTCCAGAGGAGACCCACAAAGATTGTCACAGGGCTGGAGCATCTCCCATATGAGGACAGGCTGAAAGAATTTGGGTTGTTCAGCCTGGAAAAGAGAAGGCTCTGAGGGGACCTAACAGCAGCCTTCTAGTACCTGAAGAAGAGCTACAGGAGAGATGGGGAGGCACTCTTCATCGGGGAGGGTAGAGACAGAACAAGGGGTAGCAGTTTTAAGCTGAAAGAGGGTAGATTTAGATTAAATATTAGGAAAAAATTTTTCACTGTGAGGGTGGTGAGGCACTGGAACAGGCTGCCCAGAGAAGTTGTGGATGCCCCATCCCTGGAGGTGTTCAAGGCCAGGTTGGATGAGGCTTTGAGCAACCTGGTCTAGTGGAGGGTGTCCCTGCCCATGGCAGGGGGGTTGGAACTCAATGATCTTTAAGGTCCTTTCCAACCCAGACCATTCTGTGATTCTATGTGTCTGGGCTAACATAGGTTTGGTCTGATTTGGATACAGCTGAAAGATATCAGAAGATCAGTAGGAAACACAATATTTTAAATATACCCAAGAAGTATTAATTTTTGTTGCATGAAGAAGGAAGCCTGCAGAAACTGAAATAATGCAACACAGTACCATAACTACAGACACAGTCTTGAGTTATATGACATTGAAGAAACACTTCTGGACCACTGAGGTCCACAGGATGCAGGGACATTGGACATAGCACCCTGTGACACACAACAAAGGGTAAATCTGGCAGATATTAAATGCTATCACTCCATTCTTGCATACATATTCCATTCCATTTATGTATCTTCTTAGGACATTGAGACCTGATAAGAATGAAGAAACTGATTTCTGCACATTACCATGCCAATTCCTACCCAATGGTTTTGAAGATGACTGAAAGTTTTATGAATAAAATGGCCAGCCAAGCTTGGAAGGGTGATCTTTGCACAACCACCACTAGAAAGAATCGCCACCTTTCTTTGCACATCTACATGTGGGACATGATTTGGGGAGGAAGTGCCAGTGGAAGTTGTCAGTCTACTGCTAGCAGTAGCCAATAACATACTGGCTTGCCCACTTGGGTAGAAAGAATAAGCATCTCCTAAAGCAAACCCTTGGTTAGTCACATTTTACAGACAGTAGTTTCACCACAGTTAATTAGCAAGGCAGGAAGGAGGAAGTTGTCCTTGGAGCAGTCTCCAACACCTTATTTGTGCTGAAGGAGATAAAGGTCTTTATTAGGTAAGACCCACATTGCAGTCACTGCTGTAAATGACACTGATGGGGACAAGAGAGAGCAGGGCGTTACATGCAGCTCATCCATCCCACGGAGCCAGTGAGTCCTTGCATCAGCTTGGCTGCAACACTTCCACCATTATGTCATCCCAGAAGTATCTGGAAGGCTCTGTAGAGTACAGATATAGAAGTAACATCCTACTGCTCAGATGGGTTTGGGGATTTGAACTACACACCTCCGGAATCACCCTTTGGTTTGTTTTTCTACGAAAGATGCACTGCAAGTATAGCCAATATTCATGTGCTACCTGATGCCTCAATGGCTACACCCATAAAGTCTGGGGGACATTCAGAAGGTTGAACTGAATCTTCAGATTAACTAATTGAATATCTCAGAATAGATAAAAGGTGATCCTATATAGGACCAGTTTCATGGATTATCAAAGTAAATAATTTAGATGGCACAAACAAGATGATGTCTCTTCTGTAACAGGCAACCCTAAAGACTGCTCCAGGATCCCATGGGAATGAGGGAATGAAGGCAGAGGCCCTGACACTTAAGTTTTACACTGTGAAAAAAACTCACATAGGTCAGTGAGTCAACTCACACAACAGAATGAAAATCATCACTGCCACAACACACACTATTTTTATCTGCCCTGCGATGCAAGTTCACCACTAAATTCCCTGCAGGGTAGTCATCACTGCACTGTGAACTGCTAGCCAAAGGAGTCCTGAGTGTGTAAAGAGACTTTGCAGCACAAGGTCAGAGAGCACACAGCTTTCAGGACATTCATCAGCTTAAGGTCTTGATTCAGAAGAGTACTCAAGCCCATTTTACTTCCAACGACTACCTTCAATTTGTGGTGCCACAAAGTGAAACTTGTTCTCTGCATCCGAGAGCAGACAGTTCATGTTCTAGCAGCTGTTGCATCTAGCATTAAGTAGCCACTCTTCTTAGTAATATACTGAAAATAATTTTTAAAATGTTAATCTTGCTGGCAAGAGTATCCACTTGCATATCCTGGGAAAGGGTAAAGCCAGCAATTTCAACAATCATCATCACAGGCAGTGAGAGGCAACAATTGTGTCAGCACTGCTAGTCTGCACAAGTTGGCTGTCTCCTGGAAAACAAAAAACCAAAACCAACAATCCTCTTCTTTCCCACATGCCCTTCAAGACACTCTGCTTGCAGTGTGTCCAAATGTCCTGGGTTAAGCTGAGACAGAGTTAACTTTCTTCATTATAGCTAGCAAGAGGCTGTGTTTTGGATTTGTGCTCCAAAGAAAGCTGATAAAAAGTGATGTTTATGCGGCTGCCAAGGTCTTTCAGCTTCTCTGGCTGGCTGCAAACAGGAGAAGCTGGGAGGGAGCACAGCCCCAGTTACAAGCCTAGGATGTGATCTTAGGTTCGGGATTGAGACCCAAAGTGGCCAATAATCTATTCCATAACATACACGTCATGCCCAGTATATAGGTGAGGACCCTCCGGAAGACCGTCCCTTTTGGTTCTGGATCTCTTTTGCTCCGAGCCATCTCGCTCCAGGTGGTCGCTCTCCCAAGGCCTTCCCCTCCTCACCCCGGTCAGCTCTCGGTCTGGGACGCTCGGACTGTTATCTCCGTTCCGTGAGTGCGGTTTCGGGACTCTCCCTGCTCCAGGATCGTTAGCTGGGAACAGGCTGAGTCTTGGTCATCGGGTGGGGGGGGGTGGTATCACTGTGTATCACTCGTATATTTGTATATACTATTATTTTCAATATTATTGTAATTTAGTTATTAAATTGTTCTTATCTCAACCCACGAGTCCTTTTTTCCCTTTCCCCCTTTAATTCTCTCCACTATCCTCGGGTGGGGGGTGGACTGGGTGAGCGGGTATGTGGTTTGGCTCCCAGCCAAGGGCAAACCCATCACACCAAATATGCATGTAAAAGGTCTGCAAGAATGGTACCAAGTCACCTCCCACTGCACTGCAGGTACTGCACACTGTGACCTGAGATAAGGATTCAAGGGATGAAAAGCACAACATAGCTCTTACATTATATTATAATTATATTAACTGCACAAGTAAATCTAGAACAGTTCTGTACACTAGAACAGACACTGCAAACTTACTGCCCAACTTTCCACCTGTGATGTTTTTAATCCAATAGACTGAAAATGCAAACCAGTCCCTAATAGTAACTTATGTACCACAAACAATATCCTGTATTATTCACTTTTTAAGAAAAAAACATGTGCAATGTCTGTAATGATAGAACACTGCAAGATAGGTGGGATTACACATCATTACACTCGTAACTGGTCAGAGATTTGAATACTGCACAGTTGTAACTGGCTGTAACTCTCTTCTGGCAACTGAGAGACAATTTAGAGGACATTCACTCACAAATACAGGGGAAAGCAGACAAAAACAGCTTCTACAAGGAATTACACAAATGTGATTTCTTTTTCTCATCAATTTCAGTGATTATGGGAAGAAGTACTATGATTGATTGATCTGCATTCCAGAAAGGAGGAAGTTCTCTCTACATACCTTTTTAATCACACAAGCTCACTTGAGCTTTTTTTATCCTTATCACCAGCATGCAAGTGCTACCACAGCACTAAGCAAGGGTGGTAAAGGTACAAAGAAGTTCTGAACAGTGTGATTATTGCTCACATAGCAGTACTGCCCTCCCTCCTGCTAAAGGCTTTGAATATTTCCACTCAAAATTTCAGTGAATTCAACACTGCAGTTATTGGCAAATAAGGACACTGAATAACAAAGACAGGACTTCCAAAGACTGCTTCGGTGCTCTTTCTTTGTAAAAGGAAAAAAAAAAAAAGGAAAAAAACCCAAGAAAACCAAACACAACCCCCAAATTCTGTGTCTGCAAGCTCCTAGCTAACTTAATTTCTCCCTGTGGCAGCTCTGCCTCAAGCAATATTGTTAGTGGATACCTGTAGCACATAAAGATTATCAGCCATAGTGTTAAATTGGAAGTTACACAATACCTCAGTTTGCCCTTCGCCCCTGGTTTCCCCAGGATTACCTGCTATTAAATTTCCCTGGTTCCTCTTCTCTAGCATGATGAAAGTCCAAGCTCAACTCTGCATCAATGCCAAGACCACAGTAATTGTTCATCTGTACAATCTGACAAAAAAAAAAAAAAAAGGTATCATTTCCTCCTTATGTTTATAAATTAAGAGGTTCCAAACTTTTTGAACAAAAGCAAGCCTTGCAGATGATTCTTCCAAGTCATTTGTATCTTTACAAATTCTAGAAAACATTTTCCAGAAACTCTGCACTAAAAATAAAGCTGTATGAAAAACTGTTGACCTGTGCAGCCATTATTTCCAATGTAACAGAAACTTTGGAATTTAACCTTAATTGCAAGTAACAAACATAAGAAGGCATAAATAAAAACAAATGCAGAAATAAAACCACCCCAACTTCTCAAAGTGATTCTATGCAATAACTACACAAGTTGCTGAACACCAATGCCACTATTATTTTTGGCATCAGCCATGGATTTATCATGACGTAATTAGGAAGACCATCTTCCTCACTTTGGAAGGTGACCAGCTTATACCAGATGAGTGAAGAACTTTACTTCACCTACTCAGCTGCATTTTAAAGAGCTCACTATATGCCAGTCTCAAATTTCTACAGATTTCAACCGTTTTTGCAATTAATTATTCCTTTGCATGCCTGTTCATTCCATAGATTTTCTATCCTACTGCTTCACTCTCCCACCCTTTACTTTAAAAAGCAGATTAGGCACTCAAGGGCAAATCAACCCGTCTCAATGAAGTGAAAAAAGAGCTGGAACCTGAGCAACTTAAATCCTCCAACTGACACATAATGCTTAGTATTTTCCAGTGACTGGACTAAAATCTTAAATTGCTACCACAATTCCAATCTCCTACGTTTTTTTTTGTCACCCCCTTTTCCAATTTCTTTGTTTTGTCTGAAGATAAACAGAACAAGGAGTCAGAGAAAGCTCTGAAGTCACCATCTACAATAACAGCTTTTATTTACTAAAACAGAAACAAGTAATACAAACCAAGGGACAGGGACTTTCACTCCAAAAAAATAAAACAGATGCCAAAATAAAATAAATGCCACATATACAGACACCCAACGTCAGTAAGATGACAGAAGGATTTACTTCCTGTATACACTAGCGACTCATAAGTAATTTTTTCAACTGTTAAAGGAAAGATGAGAGTAGTTGGGGGCGGGGGGGAGTTGTGTTTTGGTTGACACTCCGGTTTCAACAGTGTTCTGGAACTTGTTTGTCATTCCTTCAAAAAGTTTTCTTGTTTGAGAAATAAAGTGAAGCAAATAAGTATGCCATTGTTACTTGAATCTTTTCATCAGTCCTCTATCAGCTACTTTTTGGCCAAAAAGTGTGTTCAGCCGCCAGCCAGACCTACCAAAACTGAAGCACTAGATCCAGACGTATGCTGTGTTCACTGAGGTATAGCTCAGTAAGGCCCAAGCTCAAAGATAGGTGAGTAATAAAAGATTAAACTACATTAATATTGATCTTCTTTGTGATTTTTGCTAGAACAACAGTTCCTAAGAATCAAACACAAACAGCGCTCAGCTCACCTTTGGAGGCTCAGGTTCTGCAATGCCATTCTCTGCGCTTTCAGCTGGCTCTTCTGCATCCAGAAGAATAGTCCAGCGATCCATAAGAACGTCGTCTGCCTCATCCACGGAAACCAGAATCGAGTAGGGGTCCTCCCCACTGTAGCCAGCTCCCCAGCGCAAGACCCTCCCTAAGTCATTACCTGGGCAACAATGAAGAATCCCAAAATACACTGCATTTCTTAAGTTAGCTAAAAGCATCAAAAAGCGCATCAGCCCTGTTCTACAAATCAAATCACGTTAAGGTGCTCCAAACAAGCACCTTAGAAGTAGTTAGATCGGACTGAAACATTAACAAGCAGAAAAAAATATCTATGTGTCGTTGTGGCTGCACATGTGCTTAGTATCACATACAGATACACTGTCTCATCTGAAAAGTTTTCATAAAAAGTGACAGAAAAAGCTGTTACGGAGTTGCGAAGTCAGCCAGCAGCTGAGTTCACTGGTTTACAGTAAGGGCTAATGCACCTGTGGCTGTCAGGGGGACAATATTTTGCCCTCTCCCAACTTCTGCCCACTCAGACACACTCATATTAACATCCCTGCTGCTCGTTTTTCCATCAGAAAGCATAACTGACATTTCCTTGAAAAGTTGATATTATATTTGCTCTCCAACATCAGCCTGAACTGAGTCATGGCATCCCTACTGCGAAACGGAGATGTTTGTCAGATGGATAAATAAAGTTAAACCTCTGGAGGACTTTTGTCCTCAGAAGAATGGTGCTTGCTGTGATTCTCACCTGTTCCTAAAGGTAAGATAGCAACTGAGGGCTCTGAGCACACAAGCTTGTGCCTGATCTCCTCCAGTGCACCAAGGACCCAGCCGACAGTGCCGTCCCCTCCGCACACCAGCACTCGGAAAGAGGGGACTTTAGAGAATGTGTGAAACCTCCATTGCGAAACAAAACAAAGGGGAAAAGAAATGTTACAATGTAGTATAGGGAAAGCAAAGCTTCTTACTATGCCATTTAAGATAATAACATTATTATTGGACTTCCCTCCGCCCTTATTGTCAGTTGCAGGATCAACTTCCACAAAGTGAATGGAAAAACAGGAACTTAAAGCTTTTTAAAAAGATGGAAACCACAATCTTCTAAGATTCTTCACAGATAGAGTTAAATTGTTAAATCATTTCCTTTGTCACTAAAGACACAGATTTGACTATTCATAATTTCAGTGTGAACATCTGTAACTCTCTAAATCCTAGTGGAGTTGTGTGATTAGTGGTGTGTTTTGTTTTTTCTTTTTTTTTTCTCAGTCATAGGAGTCACAGTACGTTTTCCTCTTCATAGTACTACTTTCCTGGTTGCTCTTACGCTTTGTAGCTTTTCATCCTATATACTAAGACATCTTGCAAAGGAATTTTTATTTCCTATTGCACAAGGAGCAGTGAACAAGTGGAAGCGTTTTGCCATGAAGCTGATGAATTCCATAGGCAAAACAAAATTGACAAATTACTGAAGCTGCAGCTTGAACTGCATTAGAAAGACAACAGAATCACACAGTTCTAACAAAAATCTTAGTCTGTGCAGCTTGTTTTTCTTGCTTCCTGCATAAGCTGCGTTTCTCCCACAAAAGCTTTTGTTTTGAAGAGCTTCTTAGGACAGTTCTTTGTCAAAGCAGTGCTGAAGGAATGAGGCTACTCTGAGTACGGTACAACCATCACTTTCAGTTTTATGAAGCTGGTAACTAAGTGGTGTTGAGTAAACCAAGTAACTGGTTCCTGCCTCTCTACAAGCACATTATGTTCTGTTCCTTGTATTTAGAAATGCTGCAGCTGTGCTCAGGCAGGCCCTGTTAATTCTGCAATTGTGGCCAAGTTTCAAGAGTCAAGATAGAAAATTTTATTACCCTTTTCTGTTAGTTCCCATGAAACATCAGAGGAAATAAAAGCAAAAATGAGCCGTCATTGGGCAATGTGACATTTCTCTTTCAATCCCAATTTGATTATAAAATCTTTTTATTTTTAGTATTTATTAAATCTCTGTTACTGTGAAGTGTATATGACTTTCCCAGGACTTGACTCTATCTGACTTTGACACAAGCATATACAGCAGGAACTACTCTATTCTCTTTTCTTTAGAGAATCTCAAAGTTTTCACAAGGAGAACCAGTCAGGAGATATTCACCACTCTGGTCTTCAGGCACAGAACAGAAGTAATTTAGATCTTCATAACAAGTGAATCTGATCCATCCTTTCAAAAATTAACAAAATAGCATAAATTAAAAAATTTAAAAATATGACGACCTACCCAGGCAGTGGGCCACCATTTGTAAGTTCAAAGACCTGATGTGGGTTTAGCAGCTTTCTAAAACTGTACAGCAGATCCCGTCCTTTTAAACCACCACTTTTTGGATTCACAAATACAAGAAGTGGACAGCAGTTCTGTGGTATCTTGGAAGCCTGAAAGGAGACAAGAAAAAGGATTAGCCAAAATGATGACTAGGCAGTAAAATTACTAGTGGCTCTTAAAAGTATTTCTTGATGCTTCCTTGGTTCTCAGTAAAAAAATCCAGATTCGATAAATGAAAAAATTAAATGTCCAGACAATGGACAGTTTAGCTGCTGATTTTGTTTTTCTGGAAACTGAAGTTTCCTTAACCCACTCCAACTATACAGTTGAGCCTAACATTAAAAAGGCACTGTAAGCAGTCCTTCCTACACATTTTCAGTAAACAGTCTGGGCCAAAGAACAGTCTGAGGAATAAGGTACCTTCCAGAGTTATATACAATTCAAACACTTTCCTTGCAAAGAGAGGACCTCTCACAAAAACAGCTCAAACATATGGTTGTCTTAGAATTCCTGTCAATTTGCAAGGACAAAACAATTCAAAACAAGGGTGTTCGGGGCAGACAGTGGCATGCCCTTCCCCATGAAATAAGAGGGTGAAAGCTTCTTTTAAAAATACGTATTTTAAAATTTTTAAGCAGGAGGATTTGGTGCCAGTATTTCACAGTCCTCACATCTCTAACTGAAGCTGCTGCTGAAAGGGCTCTCAAAGCATGGCCATGTTGCGGGGGATCCTGATACCCACCCAGAAACCACTCCAAAGGAAGTCACTGCACACTATCAGAGGAGAGATTTCCTGGGGTACTCCACGGACTGCGCCGTGAGGGTACCTGCAGCCTCACTGGAGGTCAAAACTTCCAGCCACCAGAAGCACCCCCTTGGGACTGGTTTTCAGGCAGCCAGCACACCTTTCATCCATCCTGCCACAGGGCTGCAGGGCAAGTATGTGCCAGAAAAGTCTGCTAGGGATTTCAACAAGCACACTTCAAAACAGAAACGTTTGCCACAGTCCCTAAATCGTGGCAACTTGTATTTACAAATTGGATAGCATTCAGGGAACAGCAATTTGTCATGCAGCTGATGGGATGGATTCAGGGAACAGAACAGTGCTAAATATAAGTCAATTTAGACAAGAATGATTCAGGGGGTGGTCAGGCAGCAGCATGACTACAGCGTGCAAACATGCGGAGAGACACCAACAACTACAGAGGGGAGGAGAGCACCCAGAGAGCTTGTCGGCTGCTGTCCATGAGTGACCGCCAGAGAGCATGAACAAAGGCGGAGAATGGAGAAATGAGGACAAATGAGTAACTTTGTGGGGAAGCAAACTGAGGTCTGACGTTGAGATACCCCAGACCACCACCTACCTGCAAGCTGGTTTGGATGCTTAACACAAACGATCTTTTGGGGCTTCCCAGTATTGGAGAGATTTCCTCAAATTTTGCTTTCTTAAAAGAGCTGGGTGCTAATCCTCTGCAAGTCACACCCTGCCAGATGTGTCAAGATACCCACAAACACATAAAAATCCTTCTCCTCTGTGTCTCTTCTCATGCCTGCATGAGAAATGCCCCCTGCCATCCAGTGTGACTTGCAGGCACAAACAAAGAACACACCAGGAAGAGGAACACTAGGCAGGTAAGAAGGTTGGTGGAGCAGGCACACATTTCTCTTGCCCTTTCTTTCCTCATCCTTTGGATTCTACCAGAGACACTCAGTCTGAAAATACTTATGTTTTCTCCAAAACATTACTAGCCAAACAAGGGCTATTTTGGGTGAGAAAGAGGCAGAAGAGACTAAGCCTTCTCCAGAGGAACCACCTTCACGCTATACTTTGTCAAATGCTAGGTCAAAACACCTCTTGCCTCCATATTCAGGCTTCATTAGAAAAGGGTAAGCAATTATTCAAAGCATGCCCAACACCCAAGGGTAATATATTTATTTCTGTTAAGCACACGGAAAGGGTATTAGTAGCCAGCAAAGGAAGTCTAAGGAAAACAATGCAAACCACCGTCACAAAAAGAAAGGACTTTTTGAGCTGTAAGGTCAACAGCTCAAGGATCCACACATCGCAATGAAAGAAGTGGATTTCCTCCCCTTGAGCCAACACAGGCATTAATAAAAATAGTAAGCAGAGCTCTGGCTTTTTCAGAAGTAAAGCCCTTCTAGTTAGTCCATCAGTTCCTGCACCGTCATCTGCCATATGCCATTACGAATGGCCATTTGAAAATCCCACAAGCAACAAATGGCAGAACAGCTCTAAGAGGAAACACCATATCCCATGGGGTACCAGGGCAAACTGTTCCCTTTCTGCATTTCTTGCTCCAGCTTCTCCTGTGCCCTACCTTCCCACCTGACCACTTCCCATTTCTTCCTCTTCAAAGTTCTTTTAGTACCAAAATTTCATCTCCAGCCATTTCAACTTTCTGAACAGTACAGGCAATCTGAAACCTCAGGCCTGGTCCAATGCCCAGAAACTTGTGGAGTTTAAAAAAAAGGAGAGTAAGGGGATAATAGAAGGAAAAAACATTCAGCTCTGCAGCTCAAAGTAAACAAAAACTTTTAAAATAAAAGGAATGAGTGAAAAGAAACCGGCCCAACATTCAAGTCAAACAAATACCTTACTTGAATGTGGACAAGAACATTCGATTACCTTCTCTTCTTCAGGAAATCAGTTTCTAAAAATACTTGTTTTGGACATTTAGAAGAGACATGTTGAACACATGTTTTATATTACTTGCTTTTACAGGCAAGTTCTAATGCACTGGATTTAAAACCAAGTAACTAAAATAATTCACAGGGAACTTCAGGGAATCACACTGATTTTTGAGATGTGGTAAGCTCCAAGGCATTCCAAAGCACAGCTGTGTTTTGGAAAGTCAGCTGAGATGTACCCAAATAAATATATATGGTTGCTAGTATGTATTTACAGTTTCTACAAAAGCCATGTAAATTTTCTAATTGTCAAATGTCAATATTGTACCACAAAAAAAGGTGAAACATCTACCCTGAATGCTAGTAAGACTTCAAGCAGCTGCATAGAATGCCTGGAGCTAACAAAATATCTGTAGGTAGTGTAAACTGAGCAGTCCTGACACACGAAACCACCTTTGTTCAAGTATCTTCTAAGGTAAATCCCTAACTGTACTGATTTAGGACCAAACACACCTATGCAGAATAAACAGAAATATTCTAGAAAGTGCTTAGCCTCACAGTGAACTTGCTTCCCATCATCGCTCTTCATTAAACATAAAGGAGTAAGAAACACTGCTAAATCCCTACATAAAGCCCAGCTTCTAAGAATACAACTATTTTTCAGTAGGGGTTAAACACTCTATGACAGTTTGTACAGCAGAGAAGGGCTGCTGCGTTGCTTTCTGAAAAGTACACGCTCCATTACAATTAGATGGCCACAAGGGTAGCACTCTTAAGCTGCAGATTTTTTTTTAATCCCTTAATAAAGCCCCAGTGGAGATGTATGAATAAGTTTGTTACTGGGCAGAAGGGGATGTGTGACTCACAGCCTGAAGACTCCCTTCCCCCTTTAGTCCTGGCTTCAGTGCTCTGCTTGAGGAGTGAAATCGGCAGAGGGGTTTTGTGTTGGCTGATGTTCAGGAAAGAATTTATTGCTCATTTCTCAGAGACAGCTAAAGGAGGCTGTGTGATTTAGACATTCTGATAGTCACTGTGAATTGCTTAAACTGTCAGGATTAGCACAACGCAGCTTCAGGCTGGGGCAAGGTATTTATTATCCACGCGAACTCCCTTTCTGTTGAGTGTACTGTGTAATCACATCTCACAACAATAAACAGAACAATGTGTTCTGTGTCACTGGCCTGCCAGCATCTTCCAAGGTTGTGGGCTGGCTCCAGGACCTGCAGATGTCTCCAAGCGACAAATAAAATTCAACGTTTGCAAGCAGGCTGTCTGCGGCATCTCCCACGTGCAAGGACTCACGACACTCCAAGTACAAACTTCCTCCACCCTGGCCAGAAAGGATTCATTGCATCAGATGAGGAACGATGTGCAAGGTGTCCCAGTGCAACCAGAGCGGCAGCTGGGTCAACACAGCAGGAGCTTGAGACTTTATTTTTGGGGAATTGCAGCAGTGGAAGAAGGGTGGAAAGTGACCTTTCATGGTGTTTTGGCTAAGAGGGTCATTAAACTATCGTGCTTTTAAGTTGGACACATTTGTGGGAGGAATTAGTGGAACGAATGAAATGGGAAGTTTCACCCATGTGGGAACCTTTCACTTCTTTTTCTACTACTCTTAAGGCATCTAAAACCAGTATGTCAGAGGGTACTCCACTGGTAAGTAGCATTAGTGATAAAGCCACAAAAACTTATCACCTTCGTGCTGATACTGGCCTGATACAACTCTCTGCTGATCTCCTTGTTTGCCAGTACTGCAAAAGGAGTTCTGGTAAATTAGCTTTCAGTTCAAAGACTCAGCCCTGCAATGTGTTTGACCTTGACATGCCACCAAAGAGTGATACCAAACTGCCCCTGCAGGTCCTTACACACAGCAGCTAAACAGCCTTGTAAGATACTGTATTTTGTTCATAATCCAACAGAGTATTTTAATTTATTTGAATATTGTGAAATGAAAAAGTCTTGGATTAAATTCTTAAAGGCCCAAGATCATGAAACAGCAGGACAGACCAACACACCTGACCACACTAATTGTTTGACTTTCTAATAAGCAGTTAGTGCAAACTGATTCTGCATTCAAACATTTGAGTAATGAAAATATGAGGATAAATTCCTTCTGTCAGCCCTGACCACACCAGACTAGAACTGGGCCTTCTCCTTAGAAGGTGTATCAGACACAGAGTAAGTGAATCTCACCTTGGGAAAACAAAGGACTAGCAACCTGTTAAGGACCAATTTACTTCTGTGCTTTTATCAGCTTTTAGGAAGGGTTGTTTTGGTTTTTTTAAGTTGCAATTTTAAAAAGTACTTAAGTAACCAAAACACTATGGCCTTTCTTTTGTCACCCATTCTTCTTCTGAGATTACACATTAGCCCTTCATTCACAATTTCTTTGTATTTCACCCACAAGAGGAACATCAAGCAGAGTATAAATTTAATACTGTGATAGTTCCTGTGTAAGTATTTCCCAGTGCTGTATTTAACTGGTCACATATATAAACAAAGGCTAATAGTATCACAGGATAAAAGGATAATCTAGATTACAAAGTACCTTGGGAGGTCACCTTGTTCAATTGCTACCCAAAGCAGGGTCAACAATCACTCATTAGTTTATCCTGGGTAATACTGAATAGCGTAAGCACATATGAACAACACTTGAAATATTATTTCGATTAACTCTTGGATCATTTCAGTGAGATGACCAAATATAAACAATACATGCTGAAATCAAAACAAAATGTATGTGCACGTGTACCCTCCCTCTTTCCTTCTTACATATGAGAAATTCATCCCTAGCAGTCCCCTGCACTGGAGTTTCTAAAAAATATCTTGCATCAGCTAACAGACAACATTATCCGTATTCTCCTGGCATCAAGAAGTTCACTTCAAACATATCTGGTGTGAGAAAAAATAGTCAAATGGAATTAACAGAGAGGGATATGTTCAACTTCACACACTGCACCAAATCTAGGCTCACAATGCATTTGCCCAAAAAACACTGAAAACAAGTATTCGAAAGCAGTCCCATCTTCATGCTGCCTCCTGTTTGTGATAACAAAAACTCCGAAACTTATGATACTCCCTGTATCCCTGCATTCCAACACTCCGGTCGTAGGATCCATCCCACCATGTCTCCGTAATGCCAATAAGATTGTACCCGTAAATGTGAAGATTAGCAGTAAGTACTTTACCTCATGGTTAGTGAGGAAACACATTTAGTCCTCAAAACAAAGTTGTTGTAGGCATTTTAAGACACACCAGATTAAACTAACTTAGTCTCACCTAACTTTTTAATAATTGAAATAAATAAAGAGGAAAAAAAATTGTTTTTCTCCTCTTTCTAGTCTTGTAGTTATGTGGTTGTATGGTTTCATAGTTACTTCTGACAACTCAACAGTAACAGGACAAGTGACTAAACTCACAGAAGTATATCATATACATGAAGTACAGGCTCTCAAGTATTTTTTTTCGTCACGTTACTTACAGAAATTCACCGTATGGCTCCTCTGAATAAAATGTATTTTCATTTACTTCCAGCAGAAAAAGTCTTAAGGTAGTTGTTTTTCTTTTAACCCATCTCTTACCATAACTTCAGGAATCACCACGGCATTCAGAGGCTTGTCATTGACAGTTGTATCTTTAACTAGCATATATATTCTTTCAGCTTCAGAAAAGCACGAAATTTCGAGTACAACAGCACCTGCAAAGAGGCATCAGGACTATTTTTTACATTTTCTGTTATTATAGGAAATCACTATCATCATATCACAGCAAAAGTTTACTTAGTTTAGTCAGGACATTGCTCAGTAAAAGTTACTCTGCAACACTTATGGAAAAAGAAAAGAAAATACTGACAAGTTAATTTAAAGTAAGATCCTTAGTGAGAAACAAAACAGGGACAGAGAACTGCTGGAGAGAGTCCAGCGCAGAGCTACAAAGATGATTAAGGGAATGGAGCATCTCCCATATGAGGAAAGGTTGAGGTAGCTGGGTCTCTTTAGCTTGGAAAAGAGGAGACTGAGGGGTGACCTAATTAATGTTTATAAATATGTAAAGGGTGAGTGTCAGGAGGATGGAGCCAGGCTCTTCTCTGTGACATCCAGTGATAGGACAAGGGGCAATGGGTTCAAGCTGGAACATAGGAGGTTCCACTTGAATATGAGAAAAAACTTCTTGAAGGTGAGGGTGACAGAGCACTGGAACAGGCTGCCCAGAGAGGGTGTGGAGTCTCCTTCTCTGGAGACATTCAAAGCCTGCCTGGATGCGTTCCTGTGTGATCTCATCTAGGTGTTCCTGCTCTGGCAGGGGGATTGGACTAGATGATCTTTCGAGGTCCCTTCCAATCTCTAACATTCTGTGATTCTGTGTGATTCAGGGGAGGACAAGACCAAAGTGCATAATGAACAGCAGAATGAGTTGTAAGCTGGTAGCACAACCTGGCTGCAACGAAAAGTGAGAGTGAGGAGAGTGAGGAAGTTATCAGAAACATAAAAATACTCAGAAGGTAAAAAAAAAAAGAACAATAAAAATCACATAGACGCAGAAACTTCTAAAAAAACACATGCAGGTGAACTTGGTTAAATGAAGCCATGACATGAGAAGAGTATCACAAAAACAACTATTCTCCATTGATTAACACAAAAGGAGAAGGCACATCTAAAAGCTTTATGGTTTTCCTTATGAAAAGTCAGTATTAACGAACCCCGTGGAGACAGCAAATACACAAAGGAAGCACACACCAGTCTTCAAAACCACCGTATAGAAAGATACATTTAGTGGTCATGTGAAAGTTAAGCCTGCAAAAGGACGTGAAACATATTGGCTATGGACACCTAAACGTACAGAAGATAAATTTCACACATTTAAGTTTTACCAAATGCAGATCTCCACCTGACCACTGCGCTAAAGCTGCACAGAGCCATTC